GGGCTGACATGGGTGGCACTAATATTCTTGGCGCATTATCCTGGATTTTCAAGCAACCAGTGCATCGAGGTTACCCTCGACAGCTCTTTATTTTGACGGATGCCTCAGTGAAGCATGCTGGGAAGATTATCGAGCTGGTGCGAAAAAATGCTAATTCTGCAAGGTACTTTTGTCGTCTTTCTTTCATGTATACTTTCGATGAAGTATTAAGCTTCTTTGTACTATCAATTGATTTGTGTGGTGGCTCACTGGTTAGTACTGCTGTCTCACAGTACCAGAGACCTGGGTTCAATTCCAGCCTTAGGCGACTGTCTGTGTGGAGTTTGCACATTCTCCCTGTGTCTGTGTGGGTTTCCTCCAGGTGCTCCAGTTTCCTCCCACAGTCCAAAGATGTGCAGGCTAGGTGGATTGGTCATGCTAAATTGCCCATAGTGTTCAAGGATGTGTAGATTAGGGAGATGGGTCTGGGTGGGAGGCTCCAAGGGTCAGTGTGGACTTGTTGGCCAAAACATCAACTTCTCTGATGCTGCCTGACCTGCCATGTTCCTCCAACTCCACACTATACTGACTCCATCTCATCAAAAGTTTATTTTTGGAAAAAAACAAAGTATCAAAAGTAAATCCAGAAAATGCTGTAGTGATTCTATGATTTCTTGAACATGTATAAAACTATTGTTTCTGTGTTGGACTAACAATTAAAAATAATAACAAAAGGCTTTCTTTATCCTATAAACTCTGAAGTGATCCTTAACCCTAAGCTTGATGGAAAAAATAATGCAGAAGGGACATAGATTATTTCAAAAGGACTAACGATGCTGTTGCAGTGATTCAAGAGTGTGACATTTCAAAGATATCCTCAAGCACGCAATTCCAACATACTTGTTACAACTTTTTTATTTTAATATGTTTTATTTGTAACTTTTTTATTAACAAAGCTGAAAAGAATTAAGAGTAACAGGATTTTCCTCTCGTTAGAGTGGTGAGAGTAATGGAGAGTATCGCAACAAAACATGGTTGAACTGAAAAAAATTAGATTTACAATGGCAAGAAAAGTTTTCCCAATTTTCCCCTAAAGCCTTAAATGTCAATGTCAAAGTTTTGCCTTTGAGTGGTGACTACCATATTTCTATCTCATTAAAGAGATAGCAAAAACTGCAAATGCTGGCATCAGAGTCAACACAGTGTGGAGCTGGAGGAACACAGCAGGTCAGGCAGCATCAGAGGAGCAGGAGAGTCGACGTTTCAGGTCAGAACTAGAGTCCTGATGAAGGGTGTAAACCCAAAACATCAACTTCCCTGCTTCTCTGATGCTGCCTGACCTGCCATGTTCCTCCAACTCCACACTGTACTGACCCCATCTCATCAAAAGTTTATTTTTGGAAAAAAACAAAGTATCAAAAGTAAATCCAGAAAATGCTGTAAATAACTCAGCAGATTCAGCAGCATCTGTGAAGAAATAAATAAGTTTAACTTTTCAGATTGATGGCTTTTCGTCACAACAGGAAAAGGTTTAAGATGTAATTGGTTTTAAGCAAGTACATAGGCAGGGAAAGTAGATAGCATTGGAAAAAGAATAAAAGGGGAATATCTGTGATGGACTAGAAAGCAAAACACATTAGACAATAGAAGGGATGATGATACAAGAGACAAAGTGGTGGTAATCAGACAAGTAAAAGAAGCAGGACATGGGTGGAGGTTTGATTGGGAATAGTGGAGTCATCATGATCAGCTGCTATCTGTAAAAAATAACAGAAGCTATGTCCTGTAAGTGTTGAAGGAAATGTTGTATCTGGAAAGCTGTAGAATGCTAAATCGAAAAGTGAGCTGCTGTTACAAAACTTTATGTTTAAGCTTCATTGGAATAGTATAGGAGGCAGAGGGCAGAGACATCAGAGTGAGAATATACCAGAGAATTACAATGTCATTTCACTGGGAGTTCAGGGCCGTGCTTATGAATAGTGGTGTTCTAAAAAGTAGTCACTCATTCTGGATTTGAGGTTTTCCCAGTGTAGAGGAGCCTGCATTGTGAGAAGTGAATACTTATTTGAAAAATTCACAGGCAAATCACCTGGAAGGAGTCTTTAAGGGCCTGAAAGGTTAGCAGTGAGAAGTTAAAGATCAGGTTGTGGATCTCCTGATCTTGTATGAAAGGGTCCCAATGGGCAGAAAGGATTGAATTTTGTGTATGTTTGGGGAGTAGATCAAAAAGTCGTCAAGGGAGTACTCCTTTTGGAATAGTGAAAGGGAAGGGGAGAGGAAAGCGTATTTGGTGGTGACAACACATTTGTGGTTACAGAAGTGGTGAAAAAAGATGTGTTGAAAGTGAAACCTAGTTGAGTAGAATGTGAGATCAAGTGGAATGGGAAAGGGTGGAAGGGGTGAGAACAGGATCTGAACAAACCTGTCAATCGTGCTGGAAGAGAATCTTCTGTTGAAGGAAAAGACAGTTGTAAACACAGGAATGGAAGGTGGAATTGTCAGAACAGATGTGATGAAGATAGAAAAACGAGGAAAATGGAACAAAGTCTTTACACAAAATGGAAGGAAGTATTGCTAAGATAGGTGGAAGATTAAGAGAATTCAAAAGGATGGACTGCCTACCCCTCCAACTCCAACTACAAGTCAGTCAATAATGTGCAGGCAACATTAACAGGTTGAAAGTGGAATTTTTCCCCATTACCGAGGAGAATTCTCATCCTCAGTAATAGCATGCCAAGAGTCCTTAAAGTGGCAGATCCTGGTAGTGGACACTGCCGAGACTGCAGGCAGGGGCATGAATAAGACAGCCATAGATTCCAGAGTGAGATAAATCAAGGCGCTAGTGGACAGGAAGAATTTGTCCACCATAGGGAGAGGATCAAGTTGGATAGGAGGGGGTGTTCTGAAGTACAGGTCGTTAGGAAGCATGGAGGGTACTATCTTCTTGCAAGGAGATGGTCATCCCCAATGGACAAAGGGTTCTTTCCAAACTTAGTACCTGCATTCTTACTGCCATTTACAAAATACAGGGCTTGTCTGCCCCTGTGCACCGTTATCCACCTGCCCATGCCAATCATATCATGGCTTGGGCAAGGTAATATTGATGTCAATTCTAGCAAGCTGATTAAACTTTAATTATTTATTGACTTATGGTGGATGGGCTGCTGATTTTGACATTCACCTTCCCGCTGTATTATGGGGTTGAGCTCTGGGGTAGGGAGGAAGCTATTTGTCTGGGCGGCTATTTTACATGTGCTTTGCCAAAGACATCCCTGGTGGGTGCACATAATATCCAGCTCTTAAATTAGATATTGCTCCCCAGAAATGTAGAGAGAGAAGTCGAGGAATGAAAAAAGGAGATGGACTCCTGAACAGTTGTGCTATATTCCTTATGGAGTATGCGTGCAGTTTTAAGACAATCAATCACCTCTTTACAAGATTCAAAAGGTTGGCCATTTTGTGAATTTATAATGTAAATTAAAGTAAATTACATAGATAGCATTGCAACTGAATGCTTCACTCAAAAATTTTCAGCTTCTCCTTATAATATGATTTTCACAAACTAAAGAAAAAGGCTCATTCCTTAATTAAGGCTTGGCTACATCAGAGAATCTGTTTATTTGTACTGGTTAATATATATATTCAGTTGGATTTGTCAAATGTTGATGAGTGGTTTTGTCAAAAAGAAATCATTTGCTGATAGCAGGCTACATAACATATTAGTGCATGTCAGCATGCATAGCAAATTGTCATCTATAATTCTACGTCACAATAAAGTGAAAAAAAAGAACAGATTGAAAGAGTTTATTAAAACTGTTTGTGTCTGAGGAAACATAAACCTTTGCTTCAGAATCACCAAGCATTCATTTAAAATCAAAACTTTTTTTTACTGTGTAGTGGTAAATTATTTTATTACAGTTTGCCTGCTGTTTGGCAGTGATCCAAGCTATTTAATTTGATTCATGAAGCTATATCCAATTACCGTTTAGTACTATTGGCTCACAATATACCTTCAATTAATTGGTTACATGAGAGAGAAGTGTTGGGAAGGTTCACCACGTGCCTTTAACAATAAGTTAAACCAAAACTTGTCACTAGGTATATTTATTAAATTGGGTTCCAACAATCATCCAGTTAGCTGCTGATTCTAAGGAAAACATTATTAGCAAAACTGGTTCAGTTACTCTAATTTATACGGCTTAAAGTGATGGCAGAGTTCAGTGTCATTCACATTACGTATTTAGACATTAAGTAAACCTTTCAACCAGATCATGACTAATATTGATATCTAGCTTCATTATAATTGTTTTAAAGATAAAGTATAGCAAGGGATATAATTGTAATGCCAGAACGTTGACATAATATTTCATTAGATGTTTCAGTTATGGGCTGGGACCTAATGCCTGCAAACGGTTGTTGCGTGGCGTTGCGAAGGTTACAGGAGGAACTGTTGAATTTTTCAATGAAGGTGAACGACTACAACCAAAAGTAAGTGGCTGATGATCAGAAATAATTTTTACGTGTAGTAGTTTTGACTGTTATGCAAAATTGGCCTTTTTGGATCAGCCTGTATTTGCCTCCTTTTTTCATTTTCATTATATCATATAACCTTTAACTGTTTTAGGCCAATTTCTTCAAATTAGTAAGTCTTTTGCTCTCTAAGTACTAGGTCATGTTGAATAACATTCTGAGTATCCAGTTTACTGCAATGAAGTTTGAATTAAAAATAAAATATCAAATAAGTATTTGTTACTTCATTATAGATCTGATTTAATAATACTTGAAATTTCACTGTACTAGTGTAACCTAACAATACAATTGTGTTATACAGAAACATAGAAAAGAGGAGCTGGAGTAGGACACTTGTCCCTTTAAGCCTTCTTCATCATTCCGTACAATCATGGCTGATCATGCAGCTCAAAAGCAATGTTGCAGTTGCTACCTCACAGCTTACTCCTGCAATTCTCTAACAATTAATCTTCATTAGTTTCCTCTCCCTTTCTTGTGCATTTGGATTAAATAGCGTAGTACCGGTGCATGCAGACGTTTGACTAAACTTTATCCAGGTTTGAAATATTCTCACTCTAGTTATGAGAACAAGAAGGCACTGCGCGGCATCTAATTGAATTTTTTTTTATTATTCACAAACATAAATATAAAATGATGAATCAGAAAATAAAGAGATGAATGCACAGATAATGAAACCAACAGTGTCCTCAGGGAGGCTTCCATTCTCCCTTAAGCTTTGCCTTGGCCTGTCAGCTGTTTTAGTGCGATATTTATTCAAAAAAACAGGGTACCTCTTCTTATTTGTAATATAACTTTCCAGCAGTATTTCATGGAGTCATAGAGATGTACAGCATGGAAACAGACCCTTCGGTCCAACTCGTCCATGCCTACCAGATATTCTAGATAAATCTAGTCCCTTTTGTCAGCATTTCGCCCCATCCCTCTAAATCTTTCATATTTATATACCCATCCTGATGCCTTTTAAATATTTTAATTGTACTAGCGTCCACCACTTCCTCTGGCAGCTCATTCCATGCATGCACCACTCTGCGTGAAAAAGTTGCCCTTTTAGGTCCTTTTTAAATCTTTACCCTCTCACCTTAAACCTATGCCCTATAATTTTGGACTCCCCCACTCAGGAAAAGGCCTTGAGTATTCACCGGTTCAAGCCCCTCATGACTTTATAAGCCTCTATAAGGTCACCCTCAGCCTTCAACATTTCAGGGAAAATAGCCCCAGCCTATTCAGCCTCTCTCAAAGTTAAAACCCTCCAACCCTGGCAACATCCTTGTAAATATTTTCTAAACCCTTTCAAGTTTCACAACATCTTTCCCATACCAGGGAGACCAGAATTGAATGCAGTTTCAAAATAACTTCAAATTTTAAAAAAAATCAAAATAAATCTGAAGAAATATTAATTCTTTCAGTTAGGGATTTAATGTTTAGCAACTGATATTCCTTCAATAACAAAATCCTCGACTTGATTCAAAATTATCGTCATAACAAGCTAGCTGTAACCATGGAATTACATGCTGACATTTTGATGTATTTGTTCCCATTCTAATGCCATAAGTTTTTCAGCAGCGTTTATGTTATGTGCTCTTCAAAAATACCTTCCATAATACACCTGTATTTTTGGAAAAAGGGAGAAATTGTTCGGACTATTAATAAAACATATCTGCTTTTAAATCATGGGGAAAGAGCACTAGCTCTATTGTACAACAATATGCTACACTCTGAATCTCCACTAGACTAACTGTTCATGGAGCGAAATTCTGATGTACTGAAATTGACGATCTTCGGGTAGACACTGTGGCTTAGACTATGTGCCTACTGTAATGATTTTAGTCTAGTATAATTGAATGTTAATGCTATAATCTCTTTTCCACTAGTTAATGAAATCGTTAAAGAAAGCTATTGAGCCTGCTGTGAGTGACATTACCATTGAATGGTATCTCCCAGATACTTTAGAAGTTCTCCTTTCTCCAAGTGACATTGGACCTTTGTATCCAGGTGATCATTTCAATGGGTACGGTGTCATTTATGATCTTTCTGGATTTCAGAGGAAGAAGAATGTGGTAAATCAAGTCTACCTTAAATACTAAGAGAGTGTGTGTGTGTGTGTGTGTGTGTGTTAGTTACTATTTCAAATGTACCCGGAAAATGTGTAAAAATGTAAAACCAATGTAAATGGGCATCTGAAGTTACCATTTTCAATAGAACACAATGTCACGTGTTGCTGGATAGCACCGTGACACAGTCCCTATTGTGACCACTTCACAACCGTGTCTGGAAGAAACTTTCTGTATATTTTAGGGAGTTTATGACAGTGATTATGTGCCTATTTATCTATGGAATTCCTTGCCCAGTGAAGTAGTTGACGCTACTTCAGTAAATGTTTTCAAAAAAAAGGTAGATTTTTTTTGAACAATAAAGGAATTAAGGGATACGGTGAGAACGCGGGTAAGTGGATCTGAGTCCATGAAAGGATCAGCCATGATCTTATTGAATGGCGGAGCAGGCTCGAAGGGCTAGATGGCCTACTCCTGCTCCCAGTTCTTATATTCTTATGTTCTTATGATTGAGACTCAGAAATGCTGTGTACTGATACATGTTAATTCAAAAGACAATACAAAAAACCAAAAGGCTTCAGATGCTGAAAATCAGAAACAGAATCATAAATTGCTGGAAAAGCTCAGTAGGTCTGGTAGCATCTGTGGAGAGAAAGCAGATTTAACATTTCAGGTCCAGTGACCCTTCTTCACAACTGATTGTAACTAGGAAAAGGTCGGTATAAAAGCTGAAGATGGAATGGGGGAGAAGGAAGGAGTTAACAATATGTGAAGATGGAACCCTGGGAGAGAGAAAAACTGTTGGGCAGACAAGGGAATGGGTGCAGGTCAGCCTGAGAGAATCAATAGATGCCAATGGCGACCATTAGTAGCTGCTAATGGGTTGTTAGTGTTAGGAGCTCATATCATGACAAGGTCTGGTATGTGTGAGGGTTGGGGTAAGAGCTTGGGAGAAAGTACTTCGACCCTGAAATTATTGAACTCGATATTGAGTTCCAGAAGTTTGCAGAGTCCTGAAGTGGAAAATGAGGTGTTGTTCTTCCAACTTGCTCTGAGCTTCACTGGAGCACTGTAGGAAGCCTGAGATAGAGACGTTGGCCAGGGAACCTGGTGATGTGTTGAAATGGCAGGCAAATGGAAGATCAGGGTCATTTTTGCAGACAGAACGTAGGTGTTCCGCAGAGCAGTCGTCCTGTCTATGCTTCATCTCCCCAGTGTAGAGGAAACCACATTGCGAGCAGCAAATACAGTTGATTAGACTGAGTAAAGAAGAAAGGTCAATGGACTGTTAACTCTGCTTTCTCTCCACAGATGCTGCCAGACCTGCTGCGTTTTCCCAGTAATTTCTGAGTCTAATTCAAATGACAGGTTTTGTTGAAGTTGATTTTCTTTGCTGTACATCAGTAGAAACAAAAGGTCAAAACTGCCAGTGCTAAAGCCATTCAGCATGAAAACAAACAGAAACTTTACTAGTTCTGTATATGTGTAAATCTGTAACATTAATATTGAAAAGTAAAAGTTAATCGTATTCCCTCTATTGTAGGTGAAGCAGCACATCTCTAAAACAGCAATAAAAGGGTCAACCAATTCAATTTTTCAGGCTCAAGATGAGTCTTCTACATCAGCCCTGACTGATGGAATCAAACCATCTTTCCCTGTTGAAAAGAATGACATTGAGCAAGCCTTAAAGGAGATTTCCCGTGAGATTTCAATAGAGTTTTCAGGTTCTAATGCCGAGGAGAATGAAAATTGTAAAGGTACGGTATATGAACATCAGATTCTTTTTTCACCCCATTGTAATCCTCCATGTTTTGTTTTTCCTGTCCTACCTCCTGTAGAAGCTTCTCAATTTCAGGTTGTCTTTTGATATCAAAGGGTCTGGACCTTTTTCTCATCATTCATTATGGGTTCTTTGTTATCAGAAGGTGCACAATTAGTCAGACAAGGTGCATGTCAATCTCCCAAGAAGAAAGAACTCAATCAGTTAAAAGCGGTGTGACCAACTGTCCTGTATTTTACGGGATCATCCATTTCTTTATCTTATTCCATGTCCCATAGCACTTCCTCCCGAATGCAATTGTCCTATATTTTTGGTGTTCATATGTTTCTTATAGTTTGTGTGCGCAGTGCACACATATTACCATGACACAAGCCCATGGCAGCTTGAAGCTGGACTGCAGCCAGAAGAAGCGAGGAGCTTACTAGGGGAGTAATAGACCAAAGCTTCGGTGCCTTGACTCACTGAATTATTTTTGTTGCTGCTGGAGAGTACTTAAGATATGAGCCATATTTTTGTAGATCAATTTCATTCATTGTCCTATAATGACTGTGTTAGCCAACCCCCTGAGAGGAAATGGATGCACATTTGGATTGTCCTGACACCGCCTCTTAGGCCCTTATTTTCTTACTTTGACCTGCCATTGCCACACTACCATTGACCCCCTCCCACAAACTCAAGATGCCAGGCCCATCCCACTTCAATCCTTCCTTCCCCTGACACCACCATCTTTGTTCCCCATGCCTCAACCCCACTATAGATTCCTCCCTCCCTCAAATCCCCAACCTCTGATACACTGTTGTCAGTCCCAAGCCTCCATATAAACTCCCATTACTGGTTCCATAGTTAAATAAAATAATCCTTACGGATAAGCACACACGGCTGAGTGGTTTGCACCACCTTTAAACATTGTGAGCTGGGTGCCAAGAGATTTCCATACACTGCTGGTTTTATCCTGAGGGTAAAGCTTTATTTAAAAATGGTGTCACACTAATCAGTATCCATGCCATGGATATGTATTCCATATATGAAACGGCTACAAGCTGGCAAAAGGCTCAACGTGCCATAGACATGCCACTGATATTATCTGTGCATCCCAACCCACGTTCAGGAATTCAAAATTTCACATCTGACCTAATCAAGTCACCCCACACATTTAGTTTCAAGCTTTTACTGACTCCATTAAATCCCTCTTCCCCCAGGTGCTTGAAATCTATAGAAACTATTGGCATGTTCATTTCTGTGAACCCTGTCCCTGATGAATCAGTGCAAGCAGGTCATCTGAACAATATTGTTGCACTCTTTCTTTTCCTATGGATTAAAACTCTTTACTGATGTAATACTTAAGTCCAAAAACCTTCAACAACTGTTGGTTTACTGAGGATTTTGGAACTATCAAGTACACAGTAGAGTATAGCAGTTCAGTTTAAGCAGTGCAACAAGGAAATATCTCAGGTCCTGGCAGTAATTTTCAAATCCTTTCTGGCCACAGATGAACATTAGAAGATTGAACGACTGCTAATGGCTCGGTAATGAGTGGTGGATCTGACTCTAATGACTAAGATTCTTCCCTTGACACCAAATGACCCTGCATTAAGCAATGGTGATTGTAGCTGGACAAAAAAAAGGATGTTGCCTGGACTGGAGTGTCTGTGCTGTGAGGAAAGATTGATTAGGCTGGGTTTGTATTCCTTGGAGCAGCAAGGGTTGAGAGGGGACTTGACAAAGGAGTATAGTACTACGAGGGGCATAGATAGGGTGGATAGGAAGTTACTTTTTCCATTAGTAGAGGGATCAATAACCATGATGCATGGATTTAAAGTAAGAGATGAGTAGAGTTGAGGAGAATCTTTTTCTCTCAGAGTTTGGTGGGAGTCTGGAACTCATTTCCTGGAAGAGTGAGTCAGAAACTCTCACACCATTTAAGTAATATTTAGATATCCACAGCCTCCAGGGCCAAACACCGGAAAGTGGGATTAATGTAGTCAGATCTTTGTTGACTGCTGTGGAATCGGCTGAATGGCCTCTTCTGTGTTCAAGCATCAGTAAGTCAATGAGTCAGTTTCCAAGTGGCAAATCATCGTCAGTGTCCCGCAGAATTGGAGAACACTATAGATCTGCTTCGTTCAGGTATCAGATTGCCAACTCTGTTGCTAAGAATTGTTTTAGTTCTAAACACTTATCACCAGATAGTCACCAGATGCCCTTTGTTTGTTTTCCAACTCTACAACTGGTTGGAAACAAGGTGAAAAAAAGAGAAATATAAATTTCCGAGTGTAAACTACACACGTAACATAAAGGAAGTAGTTATGCTTAGAGCTAGCAAATTAACATGCAACTGCCATTTTAGAAAGACAAATCAGGGCAGGATTCATACACTCAACAGTAGGGTCCTGGGGAATGTTGCCAAACAAAGAGACTTGGGGTGCCAGTTCATAGTTCCTTGAAAGTGGAGTTGCAGGTAGACAGGATAGCGAAGAAGGTGTTTGGTATGCGTGCCTTTATTAATCAGTGCATTGAGTACAGGAGTTGGGAGGTCTTGTTGCGGCTGTACCGGACATTGGTTAGGCCACTATTGGAATACTGTGTGCAATTCTGGTCTTCCTGCTACAGGAAGGATATTTTGAAAACTTGAAAGGGCTCAGAAAAGATTTGCAAGGATGTTGCCAGGGTTGGAGGGCTTGAGCTATCGCGAGAGGCTGAATAGGCTGAGGCTATTTTCCCTAGAGCATCAGAGGCTGAGGGGTGACCATATAGAGGTTAATAAAATCATGAGGGTCCTATATAAATTGCATAGCAAAGGTCTTTTCCCTAGAGTAGGGGAGTCTAAAAATAAAGTGTATAAGTTTAACGTGAGAGGGGAAAGATTTAAAAGGGACCTAAGGGGCAGGTTTTTCACAAAGAGAGTGGTGTGTGTATGGAATGAGGTGCCAGCAGAGGTGGTGGATGCTGGTACAATTACAACATTTAAAAGGCATCTTGTTGGGTACATGAATAAGATGGGTTTCGAGGAATATGTGTGAAATGCTGGCAAATGGGACTAGATTAATTTAGGATATGAGCTCAGCATGGACGAATTAGACTGAAGGGTCTGTTTCCATGCTGTACATCTCTATGACTCTGACTCTGAGAGAAAGGGGAATAAAAATATGATCATTGGCAGAAGGGACATTGTTTTTTAAATACACATTTATTTTTTGGAATTTCAGACTCAGAGACTGATCCATTTAATGACTTACGGAGGCGTATATCCCATTCTTCATACATCCAGGAACAATATAAACTGACACACTGTTCCATCTGCAGTGATAAAGGAATTGGGGTGCAAAATGCACCTTCCCATGGCTCAAGTAACAGTGACTCTACAGAGCTTGACAGGGGAACAACATCCCTCCCATATGGTTTGGAAAATATTGCACATCATGGACAGAAAGGTTTGCTGCGCTGGGAATCACCGAAAAAAGCAGCATCTAATTTTGAATTAGTTGACGATAAAGTAAGTAAATCGCCTGCTTACTTAATTTATATTATTACATGATGAATGGTTTCCCAATGAGTAACAATGACGTTGTTTTGTTAAATTGAAACATGAGATGAATTTTGAGCCTTCACATTCCAGCTTACACACTGTTCTCAATGCAGCTCAGTAATTTCCTCTACACTTAGTAGCTTTTTTCTGTTTATGGCATGAACATATGGGATCACTGACAAGTCTAGCATTCATTGTCTATCTCAATTTGCCTTTGAGAAGGTCATTGCCCTCTTGAACCACTCCAGTCTGTGTGGTGTAGCTTCTTAAGAAGGGAGCTCCAAGATTTTGACCAAGCAAAGGTCAAGAAATGGCAACATAATTATATGCCAAGATGGTGTGTGACTTGGAGAGGAATTTGGAGGTGGGTCCACGAGCCCACTGCCCTTGAACTTCCAGGTGGTAAAGCTCATAGGTTTGGAAAGTTTTGCTGGAGGAGTTGTGGCAGGTTGCTGCAGTGCATCTTATAGATGGAACACACTGCTACTGCTGGGAGCCAGTGGTGCGAGGAGTGAATATTTAAATTGGTTGATGGGTGTCAGTCAAGTAGACTGCTTTCTCTTGTTTGGTATTGAGCTTTTTGAGTGTTTTTGGTGATGCAAATGGGAAGTATTCCATCGTACGCCTGACTTACGCCTTGTGGACAGGCAGCTTTGGGGAATTGGGAGTTGGATTACTTGCCACAGAATTTCTCTGATTTGTTTTTGTAGACAAAGTAGTTATATGAAAGCTGCAGTTAAATTTCTATTCAACCTCCAGGATATGGATAGTGATAATTCTGTTGAATGTTCAATGGTATCTAATAGTTGTGAATATAAGTTATGAATGAAAAGGTCGATAACTTTCTTTGTTTTCACCCAACCATGAAACCTCTATACATTAGAAGCTCTGCTGTATTTCTCAAGGATGAAGAAACAGCTAGATCAAAGGACTCATAACTTTCTGAGGAAGATTAAGGTTAAAGGTTTTTGATAGGAGTCGGAGATGGATGTGTCCAGAGAAGGAGTGTGCATTTAACTTGACGTAAGATTAATTGATCATCATTACCCTAAGTTCACTATCTCCTATTGATAAAATCAAAGCCACATACTATTTTCCATGTACACAATTATCAGGCTACAATTAAATGAAGGTCAAATGTTGTGGTTCAGAGTTTGTGAAAGACTAAGTTCACATTAGAAGACTGCCTGGAAAGATTTATTTGCGGGGCTTAAAAATAAAATTATGGACAAAATTTTCCTGTTTTCATTTAAAGTGTTTTGTGGAGTGAGATATTATTCTTTTGCTCTTCTCCATATTAGCTATACAATTGGTTTGTTTGTGTCCTTCTCGAGGAGCCGCATGGCATGAGAGATGGAAGTTCTCGTCACTGTGGACATAGTCTGGTGTTTACGCTGCTAGCGCCAGCTGCATACCACCTCAGATGCTGCAAGCTAGGAGCAGCCTCCCACACTGTAGCATTCGGCCATTATAACATAGTAAGGGAAGCTCACATCCTGCTACTTGGACAGGCACCTGAAGGTGCTAGTGAGTAAGGAGAAGTGACTACCACAGGAGGCCACACCATCAGACCAAGCCAGACTGGACCAAGACTGCAGCCCGGGTCAGTACAGTGTCTTGAGTCAGAAGAGCCTCTCAGTGGAGCTAGAGAATGGCCAATGATATTCAGTACTCTGCAAGGGTAAGGTCTCTGCTACCTCACACTCACAGGATCACTCTAATTCTGCAATGCGCCAAGGCTCATTCTCTACAATTCTCATTATCACATACGTCATGTCCATCCAACAGCTCTCAAATACCTCATCCTCCCAAACTACTAACCCTTCCTGCCCTGCTTCCTACTCATTGCCTGGGGAGACCTCACCACTTCTCCTACTCATGTGTCACTGTCAACTGCTGTACCATCCACTTCCATCACGCTCAATCCCTCTATCTGCATCAGTGATGGACGTTAGGCACTTCACTCCTTATGAGGAGAAGATATTAGAATGAGCTGAGAAGAACACAACTGTTTAAGAATGGACAGAGAGCCCTCAATGGCCTACCAACACTCTAGCTTCATTGTGCTATACTGCTCTTCTCTCTCATTACCACCGATGCTAACTCATTCTTAATGTGCACGAGCTTTCATTTTCTTTAGATATTTAATTCCCTCTCTTATGCTGTGTGACAAAAGCTTCCTCAAAGAAGAAGCCAGCGCTGTAGATCCTCAGCTCCACCACTACCTCAGAGAATGTACTAGCAACATCTTCACCTGTACCATGTACTAGCCCAGAGACTTCGACCTCGATGGGCATTCTTTCCAAATTACACTCATGAGCACAAGTTGGTGAGCACGTCATTGAATTGTTTCCACAGCTAGTTGAGGACGAAAGATCGAAGGTCTCTGGCACCCAGAGGACTGCCAGATTGCACATGTTCAGTCTCAGGTAGAAGAAAACCCCACTCTCTCAACCATTAATGTCTTTTGTAAAAATATACAGATAGGCACAGGAACAGCAGACAGGAGTCCACCAGCATTATTAATACTGGCTTTGGCATGTGGCATCTGGCTGTCTCCATGGAGAGGTTGTCAATCACCATGGAGACCGAGGTGCACCACGCTCTGCTGGATACATGCACAGATCTATAATGCATTGCCATAGACTTGGCAAGGTTTCCATTGTAAATTCTTAATGAGTGATTTTCAGGCTCTGCATATTACACAAGATTTTTCCACCACGTCTGTCGTGTTCCCTTTTGTGTTGGTCTTGCTGTGACCTTTCAGCCTCCCTCCACCTGCTTTGAGCCTCTTCACATTACATGTGTCTATGTTACCTCTAAAGCACATGAATTTGTAATTCCCATGTTCTTGATGGCCCGACACTACCTCATGTAGACATTAGATTGCCCTGGATGTGTTAGACTGTTTGCCTTCTCCCTGTCCCCTCCTGGAACACCCAGTCCTTTACTCCTTTGTATGATGTGTTACCCTTCATTTGGATGTGCCCTATCAACAACACGGTGCATTAAACCCCAACCTCAGACTTGAGTTGCCCACTTTCCTCAGGACTCCATTGCCTGCTCCCTAAAAGCCCCTTCTGCCCCCAACCGGAATGACTTGGAAGATAGTCTGCCCTCTCCCAGTCTAGTGTCTTAACAACACCCTAAGTGACCTACCTGTAATCCCTGGACTAGATGAAGTTGGCCTGCAGGACTGACAATGGCAATACCCGGATTGCAAGGACACTGATCCCCAGACTCTGGTAGGACAATATACCATTCTGACCATGACTATCCCCTGGATTGGGATCGCATGACCCCCTTGACCTCACTAAGGACTACTCCCTTTTGACTTTCACATATGGCCGTTTGGTTGAAGTACATGGAGTGTGTTTGCTACGTAAGCTGATGACACACGTCGCAGGTGTGACATGGTATAGCACAATGCCATGTCTGCCCCTTGATTATTCATTGCTCCTCACTGTGACCAAGCAGCCTGCATGTTCCTCTGTGCTATAAAAAAGTGGAAATCACGGAAACTGACAGCCTGGAGCTGATCACTGAAAACACTGTCTACTGAAAAAACAGTGTGACACAGACAGAGCCTGGCAGTCCATAAATCAGTGAGTGTGAGCTAAGAAAACAATGTGAAGTATACAGAGACTGGCAACCTCCAAGTATCATAAAATAAGTAAGCACTAAGAAATCAAGCTAAGAGCCATCCTGAGCAGATGCACAAGATTCGTGTGTGTGGCTGAATGCAAATGACCTGGCCCTGCAAGTTGTAAGGTTTGCTGAGCTCCAAAGTAAAGTATTGAAGAGCTGAAGTGGTGTGAGAATGGGTCCCAGTGCATGGTGATGTTGTGAGGTTGGTGATTTGCTGATGCTAACTAACATGGATGAAGGGTCAAGGACGATGATGGCTATGGAGCATGCAGCGACGTTGTACTGAAGACAGAGTGGGACGATTACTGGGGCAAGTAACTAGCAAGCTGCAGCCTCCAGGCATGTAAGTCACCCGCCCTGACTTACATGTTGGGAATTTACACCATCTAGTTTCTCAGGAAGAAGAGAAAAATTGGAAGCCACGTAGAAGTAAGGTAAGTTCAAATATTAATGAGATGTCAATGAATGGAAATATTACAGTTGCCATATAACAGCAAGATTCTGAAGTCATCATGTAAAGCTTGAGGAGAAGATAGCGAAAGTATTTCTCAATATTGAGATTCTATTTTCTTTAACTTTCTGAATTTTCCCAACTTTCTCAACATGGCTGAAAGAAGGAGGGAGAAATTCTGCAGCTGACCATTGATGAAGGGAACTGAAGGATTCTAGATTTTCTGATTTACTGTCAAGTAAAACATAATTTCAAGTTTCTATTTAGGTATTGTAGGACTCCAAAAATTAGAACCATCACAAAGAAATGAGATGCCAGGGATGTAAATGACGAGAAAAAGTTGCCTGCTTCTTTAGTCCTTCTGTGGACCATGAACAAACTGATCAAATATGACTTCTACCCATTCCATTTAACATCCTGAAGGATGTTTCTACCCACATTTACCAAACCTTCAGAACATCTATCCAAACCCATGTCTCACACCGTACCGTGTAATAGGTTACCTGTGGAAATAATATCTCAAAGTTCAGTTACATCTTATGCTACTTTGAGAAACAAATCAATCCTTTTTCTTGATACATTTAAACTATTGTAGTGGGTAAAATTCTCTCCTTCATTTCAGGACACTGTAAGCCATGACCATTCTGCGGATGAAGCAAGAAGAAAAAGAAAACTGATAGCACAAGCAGCTTTGTCTGGCCGCAGTTTCTCTTCGCCAAATGGTCAGCTGGATATGCGTCATCTACGCAAGGCCTTGGAGAAGGTTTCCACAGACCAGATTCTAAATTGGTCTGTTGGGGGAAGAATAAATGATATTGGTTGTGAATCCCAACAATTTCAAGCTGATGCTTTCTCCAGGAGGAACCTCAATGATTCCAGTAAGTGATCTTAGATAATTGATCTTTTAAATGAAACAAGTGGTCTTCTGATTGACTCACTCAAGTGCTGAGTTAGCCTTAGTGTTGCCTTGAAGATTTAGCAAGTTCTGCACAAAATCTTAGTTCTCACACAACTCCTGGAAATATCTTTAGGTAATCAGTTAGATAAAAATATCAAATAAATAACGTGACTAATATTTTGATTAGGGACTCTGTATGGTATACTTAGCTGTCACATGGATTTTTATGATCAGATGTCTCCAGGTTAAATTAATGAAAGAACCTAGGCCCATGCAGCACTGCATGAAGTTAGTCTGAGTTGGGTTAGAGAATGGAAAAAGTTTAGTCAAGCCTTCTGTTATTGCTTGTTGGTATCCAGTGACTCCTGGAAGTATATGTAAGAAGAAAAACACTGATTGAGGACAACATAGACCTAACTGATATCAATAAAAAAATGCCATGTGAGCCATCCGGATACTAGCCTGCAGCACTGGTTACCCCTGAGAAATCTCCCTTTGTGATAGAATAAGGAGAAGGGGAAAGCAAAAACAGGAAATGTAAGAACATTCATAAAATTGGCAGCAGACAACGACACATTGTAATAATCTCATCTAGCAACAGCGGTGCCTGATACAATTATAAAGTTAGCACTAAATTTCAATGGATCAAAAAAGTTTAATTTGATTTAAATTAATAAAATGACTTTTGATGTCTGAGTTTGTTTCTGATTATCTTTTTCCACAGACACCTTACTGTTCCAAATGCCCACTCCTGACTGGGACACTTTTTTTGATCCTGAGAATCTTTTCTCCCCAGCGGCCCCAGAGGATCTGGGTTTAAGTGAAGTGAATGATGCGCCCATAATGCAGTGTAAATCAGTGATTCATGGCTTGATCTGTGGGAAATCAGTGACCTGGGAGGTAGTAGCTAACCTTTCCTCCCTCTACCATGCACCGTCAGAACAGGAATCAACACAAGTCATTGAAAATCCATGGGATGAGATCCTCCATCAGCTAACTGCACGATCAGTCATCAGAGACTTTGAAAATATGGCTGAGAAAGAGAGTGAAATTGAATATGGTAAATTCATTTTTGGAGTTTGTAAAAATGACTGTGTTAGAGGCCACGATTTAAATTATCACCTTGAAAGACTCAATTAAGTGATAAAAGATAAAAAAATTCTTTCCCCTGGAGAATAATGGATACAGATTACACATTCTCAACAAAAATAGTTAATGCTCTAATGCATGCGAGAAACTAAATATTTTGTTGTGAATAGCTGTGAGAAGTCTGCCATCTCTATTTTCTGGCATTCTTAAATAAAGTTTGGTTTTGACATTAGTGGGTGAAAAGTTAGGCCATGCCTGTTATAGGTATGTGATACTCCTGCCTGATCTTCCTCTATGTACAGTACCCAAGTGATCTTTTACATTGAAGCCTGGAAAACATAAAAGTAATTTCTAGCTGTAAAATATTTAAATGTTCTAGTGTTTTGAACGTAGCATTTTACATAAAGCAGGGACATGGGTATTTCATACATGAACAGTTAATTATTAAGAATGTTGAAGTAACTAATTTTGCTTTTAGAATCTCCCAGAAACTCTAATTTCAGGCAAGGTACAAAGTGAACTATATAGTAGGATAAACTTAAAATTAGACACCAGGTTTAAAATTGAACTAAAGAATTTTTTGTCTAATTTTCTGGAGGATCATCTAGAAGATATCGCCTGAAAACCATTCAGACAAGCAGAGCATGTAACAGCGTGTCCAAGTACACAACCATCATCCCGATAAATGCTGCCACACAGAAATCTTTAGCATCGTATGTGGAAATACGAAGTGCAGGTAATGTACTAGTGCTGTTGTAATCCCCCAGTCTTGCACCTAAAGTATTGATCACTCACATGCCAAAATAATGTTTAGTGAATTGTAATACCAGACAACAGTTCAGAGAATTTGGCCCACCAGTCAACTTGTGCACCATTTTTTTCAGGGATCCAAAGTATGCAAGGCAGTTTAGAACTCTGGTATGTGCTGTTATGTCCTCACATCCTCCAATTTTCCAATAGCCAGCAATGTATATGTGGTCAGGAGAATGGAAAAAATATAGAAGTGGGGATTCTAAAACTTCCAATGAGACTATCCAGTATTGTCATTAATTTATCACTGTAGGCACAAATAATGCTCTTCAAGCCTATGAGTCCAGCATTTGACAGTTTGAATACAACTTTTTTTTTCATGTTGCATTTGGCTGTGTGGTCATTCTCCATGAGAGCAATGCTTTGCAATCCTCAAAATGGTACAATTTAAAATTCTGAAACAAAAGCTTACCATCAACTTCAGCAGTAAAACCAGAAAATGCTGGTAATGCACAGCAAGTTAAACAGCTTCTGCGGAGTAGGAAACAGAATTAATGTTTTACGTTGAAGGCTGTCCAACAGAAGTTGAGAAGCTTTCTTCCTTTATTTTGATGACCTGAAGATAAGCTGGGAGTAGGAGTGCATTTTGACATGGCTTGACGTTCTACTCTGTTAAAGATACATCACAATCGTAGCAAAGATTATCCAAAAGAGAACAGTTATACATTTAAAAGCAAAGTATTGTGGATGCTGGAGATCTGAAATTAAATAAAACAGAAAGTGCTACAGCAATTCAACAGATCTGGCAGCATCTGTGGAGAGAGAAACAAAATGAACGTTTTGAGTCTGATAATACTTCTTCAGAACCGAAGGGAGCAAGAAAATATTTGTTTTTATGTTATTGACAAAGGGGGAAGTGGAGTGAATGGTGAGGGTGTCCAAAGCAAAAGAGAAAGGGAGTACTAATGGCAGTAGAGGAGAGATATAGATAAATATTAGGTGTTAATGGTAGGTGTTAATAATAGAAAATAGGTCTGTGAAGCTGAGAGCTGAACAAGACATGAGGCAGGGTGAGGGGGTGAGGGAGCAGTGTGTAATAAAAATGGAGGACATTGTTCATGTTGTGGAGTTGTACTTAACATTGAGTCCTGAAGGTTGTAAAGTGCTTGAGCAGAAAATGAGTTGCTGATCCTCCAGTTTGCATTGTGCTTTACAGGCCTAGGACAGAAATGTTAATATGAGAGTGAGATGGTGTATTGAAATGGTATGCAACTGGAAGGTCAGGCCATTATTTAGGTCTGAGTGGAGTTCCCCAAAGCAATCACCCAGTCTGTGTTTTGTCTCACCAATGTAGAGGAGATTGTATTGTGAACAGCAAATAGAGCAGAGTATATTGAAAGAAGTACAAGTATATCACTAATTCACCTGGAAGGTTCATTTGGAGCCTTAGCTAGTGTGGAGGGGGGAGGTAAAAGGGCAAATGTTACACCTAAGATTGCATAGGAAGGATAGTGAGAAAGTGTTTGGAATGACGGAGGAGTCTACCAGGGTGTCATGGATGGAACAGTCCCTTTGGAATGCTGACAAGGAAGGAGAGGAGATGATTTTTTTGGTGATGACATCCTGTTGGAGGTAGCAGAAATAGTGAAGGATGATCCGTGGAATGTAGAGGCTGTTGGAATGGATAAAGTAAACAAAGTGAAACCTATTATTTTTCTGGAAATGAGGGGAAAAGCTGAGAGTAGAACTTCAGGAAATGGGTCAGACACAGCTGAGGGATCTGTTGACCATGGTGTGAGAATCCTTTTATAAAAACAGGAGGACATTTCAGAGGCACTTAAGAAAACAGGAGGACATTTCAGAGACACTTCTATGGAAGGTGGCATCGTTAAATCAGATGATACCGTGATGGAGAAACTGGCAGAATTGAATGGAGTCCCCAAAGGAAGCAGTGTGTGATGATGTGTAGTCAGGTAACAGGGAGTTGGTAGGTTTGTGGTGGACAGTATGTCCCCAGAAATGGAAACAAATAAGTCAAGGAAGGAAAGGGAAGAGTCCGAGATGGACTGGGTGAAGGTGAGGAAAGGATGAAAATTGGAAGTAAAGTTGATTAATTTTTCCAATTACGAATGAGAGAAGGAAGCAGCAATAACAATGTTTTGGGTGGACCAATGTCTTATAAATTTGTTTGGCAAAGCTCTTTGTTAAAGGAAAGAGATCAGTTGTACATCATTTCGACCATGTGACAAATCAAATGAAACTTAGTGCAATTCACACTGTTTTATTTTGTGGCAATAAAATATTTTTTGACTAGTTTAATAGTGCCTTTTCTTGGAAGATATTACTTCTTAAAATACATTTAATCCCAAGAGACAGTAAAGATGAATGTAACTTTTGAGCTGACAGAAACATTATTATGAATTAAGTAATAAAATTGCCTCAAGAAACATTAAGAGCCACTTCTAGAAAAGTCAGGCCAATAGTTTATTAATTTACTCATTTACATCATCTGCAGAAAATCAATATATACTAATGTAAAGTTGTTAACATTCCAATTTTTTTTATTGTCAAGTGACAACAATTTGCATTTATGGAAATAAAGAGCTTGCAATTATATAGTGTCTTTCATAACTTCAAGATGCTACAAAATGCTTTACAGCCAATTAAATAGCTTTGAATTACCAATGTTGTAATCTAGGCAATTTGGTTACCAATTTTGGCACAACAGAATCACACAAATTAAAACAATAGATAAATGATTATATTATTAGTACTATTAGTTGAAAGATAAACGTTGGCTTGAATCGTGAACAGCAGAACTATGAGCCAAGGCAGATATCGTGTAACATTTTGGGTATAATAACGTGTCCCAGGGCACTTCAAAGCATTTGCAATGAATGTATGCTGAGCCATTAGCCTTTAAAGACCAAAGAGGAATAAAGTAATGGCAAGAGAGGCAGTCACTTTCAAGGCTGTCAGCAAATCCAATCACAAATGTCCTTCAAAATTGTGTATGTTTTCCAAATGGATTTTAGAGTTCAAGCTTACACTCAAAGTTAAAAATGTATATTCACAAGCATTTCCTTGTGACCAAGTAATTTTCTAGTAAAAGTGCCTCTGCTAGGACTATACCATAACAATGGAATACTTACATAGAGCTGCATTCCTGTGCACTATTGATCACACAGATTCTCTCTTGGTTTTATCAAGGAAGTAAATTCAACCAAACTCGAGGTTCTTGCTCAGGAACCAAGCGGCAGAGAAGTTATTCTGTTGGATTGGGCCGAAGGCACTCAAGCCAAGATTCTGAGGACTTAGATGAGTTGCTCGTATCAACAGGTAATGTTATTGCTATGTGTAAATAATCCTATCAGCCACTCTTTATAACTCAAATCAAGTTCTGTTCAAATTGGTAAAGTAGAGAAAGAGTTTCTTATTGTTAAGCTTTACAATTTTAGTTATGCTTTTGCCAACATCTCTTTTTCCCCAGTATATCCCAGTGGACCTCTTTACTTGCACCCATGCAGGATTTGTAGAGGTGGTTTTCCCTTTATTTCCCTTTTAATTAACCTGGTCCATGTAAGGTTATGTTTGTTTCAAGTTCCCCTATTGGTGAGAGGTATGTGTGAATCTCATAAGCAGCCCCAGCATTGAGCAAAAACAGTTGAATGTGACAGCAGAAAATGAGTTCAGATACAATGGCTTGGATTTTCCAATGACCAGATAGTTGTTTCTGTAGCGTAGATTGGTGCTGCATTTTGAGATTCTACGAAACCTCCAACATGGCAGATTCTAAGGAAATTACCAAGAAATTGAAGACTCTGATGAGCAGTTCCCCGATTCCTGTAATACTTCCATTTAAATCAGAGAGTTCCACTGCAGTTAAATGACATCTACCCAGGAAAAGGAAGGCAATTAAAAATCTAGCCTAACTCCTTGGTAACTATTGAACTGACCATCCCCCAAATTGCCATGCCCCCACTCAACCACACCTCCTTCTTCCCACAGGACCCAATACCCACTCCACCACCATCCATTGTGACTCTCCATCACTTAACTGGCTCCCTTTTCACCTTGCATGCTGGAACCCTACCCACCTGGTATGCTGCTTAGCTGGCATGCTATCCTTTACCCACCTGGACCCTTCTCACCTGGAACCCGACCCATCCTAGCACCCTGACCTCACACTTATTTTGCATACTTACCCAATTTACAGGGAGTGTCACAATGGCTTTTGGTGATTCTGGACATTTAAATCACAGAATACAGTAACTGATTGTTGTGAGAAAAGGAGGTGTGGTTTGGCCTTCTCTGCATTATGAGGGACCTGTCAGATTTAAAGTACGCTGTACATTTCTGAAGAATACCAATCAGAATCTCCTGTCAGCAATGTGGAGCTTTTTTTTTAACACAAAAAAAAGTATGGAGTGACAATCTGAGTGTGCCTGACTCTCTGGAAAATCTTGCCCATTTCTATGGACTGTTCACTTCTCACTCTGTCCTTGCACAATTTGTCTGCTACCGTTGTTAGCTCATAACTGTGACTACATTTCAAGAAATGATTCATAAGCATTTTGTCAGAATCTAGATGCACAATGTAAATACAAGTTTTGTTTTATTAACTTATTGCACCACATTGCTTTGCCCCCTTACCCATCAACAAGTGACTTTTCAAGTCACAAATATGTTCTTCATTCTGTGGTAGATCTCATAATAGTGGCACAAGAATCCAGGCTGATATCATTAATGTATCTCAGATTTCTTCCTGATCAATAAGTTTTATCAGATCTGTACAACAGTCAGTGTCCAACCAATAAGGTATTCTTGTCCTAATAACTACTGTCCCCTTTAGTCAATATAATTATAAAATGTAACAGTGGGGTAGAAGTTTCCTTTCCTAATTGAACTTTACAAGTAATAATGACTTAATGATTTTACTTCAGATCCCATAAATTCTATCAGATAGTAAATAGTCATCATGAGTTTATCAGCAATGCCAATGAAGGGGAGAAAATATTTAAAGTTGTAATATTTATAAGTGATAGCTAAATTCAGCAGCATGCTCAAGAGGATACCAAAATCAGTTCTGTTAAATCTCCAATCAAAGTTTTTCCTGTGATAAGTGCTTGACTTTTATATTTGTTGAGGAGTAGTAAGATACAAAAGTTGATTTAATTTGCAATCTCCATGCGCAATTTTTGTGGTATATAAGGATTTTTTATATACAATAGTTTCTAAAACTTGCAGGAACTTTTCTGGTAGGCATGAGCTAGGGCAAATTTCAAAAGTAAGTATACATTGAATGAAACAGAACTGAAAGTATAAGATATGTTTTTGTTTTTTACAGAAAAAGAAGAAATTCCAGCTTCTCCAACCAGCATGGGCTCTTCCTCATCCTCCGGGTGGGAAAGACAAAGTATCATAGATGGTATATAATCTGCTTATCTTCAAGGAATGTTTTGGCAGTACTCACACTTATTCCCTGTCAGATCTTTACAAAATTGAGCCACCTACTAAAATATTACATGGAAATGTTGCAAATGCACTGAAATTGATTGAACACACTTGAAAACAATGTAAAATTTTGGTTTCTGTAAGATCTATGCTGTTGATTTTAGAATATTTGTCTCTTTTCATGGTCTACTATGCTGCAGCTCCTGATTAACCTTATTCCTTTGTATGTCTGTCAACAAAACATAAAAACTTCAAAATAGAGCCTTTGAATTAACATTGATTTATCTCCAAATGAATTAGTTGTTATCTAGGCAAACAAATGCCGAGAGATCATGACTGTTGTTGGTGTAAGTGAGGTGAGGGAAGGAAAAAATTAGGGTGAGCGAGCATGGAAAAATAAATTTCAGGAGGTAGATGTGCCAGAGATAATTGCTTTGTTTTAAGGGGAAGTGAAGCAATAAACATACAAAAGCGAGGAAGGCACAGGGTTATGTAGTGAAAAAATGGTTTTGACATTCATGTTTGATTGCTCTGATAAAGAGCCAGCACAAATATGATGGATTAACTGATTCACATACTGGAGCAATGTTTGAACTTGCAACGTTTTCACTCTAAAGTAACATATGCCATCAGGTGAGCTTGGCAAATAAGATGGATTTGGTTCCAGACTTATGTGTTGTGCCATTATTGGTATTACCCAGTCACTCAATGTAGAATTGATTTAGGTCAGACAGCAGCAACAATCCCCCCTCTAAAATTTCAATGTCTTGGTATTTAGGTGCACTGACTGCTCCGAACACTGTACCAAAGAGTGACTTAAACAACCAAATGTACAGAAAGTGCT